GATGGGTTGTAATTAGTATTTTGGTGGTGAACATGATGTAATCTATGCAGAAATAGAAGTACAATGATGTACACCAGAAATTTTTACAATGTTATAAACCAATTAAAAGAAAAAAGAAAGGTAAACTCTGGATAAAGGTAGGCTGAATTATTCTTTTAGGATCCATAATAGGGCTCAATACATGTCATTAATCATTATACGAACAATTTTAATTCACAATTAGGCGATAAAATGCTTTTCACAGAAGCTGCGTTTTCAGTTTTACCTTTCTGTAAGTGTCTTACGGGAAAGGAACTGAGATTCTAAGAAGCTTTAAAAATTTTTAAACATTTTATTTTACATCAGAATGAGCTAAATATGTTCCTATTTTAATATTCCTACATTAAGAACTTATAAATCCATATTTATCTTTACTTATTCACTATATAACAAGTATTACTAGGTACCAATTTCAAAAGAAAAACTGGCCCAATCAAAGAGTTTTCATCTTTTCAGATAGGTTTGTTTATATTCCTAAGGAATATATACATTTAATTCTAAATTAGTTATCACAAGGGTCATTAGTTACCCTGGGTCACTATCTTTTGACTATATTACTTTCTTATAAAGTCAGATAGAAAAGATAAGAATGATGACTCTGACAACTGCACAGCAACACTGGTATGACTGCCATACTAAACAAAGAACACGCTTTGCTGCTCAATCCTTTAAATCAGATTTAATTGTTGGGTCAAATGTTAAGGTAAAGGGAAAAAAAAGACTTTTCTGCCACATATCTATAAGTTTTAGCTAACATTTATTTTATTGTTACTTTTATTAGACATTGAGTAGATATAAAAGAGTACTTCGTTGGTATGTATAAGATATAAAGAACAATATAACCACCATTCAGTTTAAAGCATGGAATGCTACCCTTTCTTCTGAAGCCCGTCTATACGTTCTCCCCAATCCTTTCCTTCCACCCTTCACTGATAATCCCTATTCTAAATTTTGCATTTCTCTCCCTGGCTTTTCTGTATGGTGTGCATGTATATATACATACACACACTGCTGACCACAGGTAACTGAACTGCAGTAAGTGACACCACAGATAAGGAGGAAAGCAAACTGCAGGGTTCTATCCAAGTTTTTAGGTATCCACTGGGGGTCCTGGAACGTATCCTCTGAAAATAAGCGGTGACTACTGTATATATACATGCTTTTCTCCTTTTTATTGAAGTATCACATCAATATAGAAATGCGCACAAATCTTAAGTGTCCAGTTTAACAGAAGATCACAAACTGATCAAATGCACGTAATTGACACTTAGATCAAGAAATGGAGTTTCAGTACTCTAAAAACTTCCCTCATGCCCCCTCTTTGGCCATCCTAGCCAAGAAAACCAGTACCCTTGATTCTAAACACTTTCTGTATGATTTTTTTTTTCCTAAGTGTTCATCCTTAAACAATACTCGATTTAGTTTTATTAGATAATGACAAACTTTTCCAAAGTGTTTTTATTAATGTGTATTCCCACCAGCAATGTATGAGTTATGGCTGCTACATACTCTGCCTGAACATTTGATACCGACAGTTTTTAACACTGAGTTTTCCTCTCAAAAATGCATCTCATCGTGGTTTTAATTTTCACTTCTTGATTACTAATGTGGTTAAGCATCTTTTCATGTTTATCAGTCAGTGTGTTTCCTATTTTAGAAAGTGCCTGATGAAGTCTTCTGATCAGATTTTACCTATTGCAAATATTCAAATACTGCAAGTGATACACTATCGCTCTATATAGTGAGTGATAACCACACTCACTACAGAAAACACTTGTAGTTTTACAGAAAAATACAAAATGCCATTCTCAGAATCATTGTTTACCACGAAGAAATCATTATTACCTGCTCTTTAATGTCCTGTAACTGCTGCTGCAACTTTTGCACATCTGCGTTGACATTGGTATTATCCTTGTCCTTCTGTAACACTGGAATATTTCCACTTGCTATAATATAGATAAAAAATTTTAATGTTATGACTTTTCACAACAAGGATTTTATTTCTAAAATTATTACTGTTTTTTAATTTAAAAAACACAAGAGGGCCGGCCCTGTGGCTTAGCGGTTAAGTGCGTGCTCTCTGATGCTGGCGGCCCGGGTTCGGATCCCGGGCGCACACCGACGCACCGCTTCTCCGGCCACGCTGAGGCCGTGTCCCACATACAGCAACTAGAAGGATGTGCAACTATGACATACAACTATCTACTGGGGCTTTGGGGTGAAAATAAATAAATAAATCTTTAAAAAACACAAGACTATTATTAGAATTCTTTTTAAAAATTTTTTCACACGGAGATGACAAATACAGTAATGACATTCATGTTATACTCTTTCATTTATAATCTTCAAAAATAAATAACTTTGCACATTAACTTCTACTTATATTTAACGCAGCTGGGCAACAATCTACACATAGATTTCTGGGTTTTCCAAGGCTCTACTTGCTTCCTTTGGCAAGCTAACAAATACACTTTATGCTTGTTTTCTCTGATCCTGAATTGTACGAACCCAAGAAGGTAAGCAGCATGGCATTTCAGCCAGTTTTGGCAGCAGCAATTATCTTCAAGTCTCTTAGATGATGTTTATGAGAACACACAAAAGCCTAGACTCCTTCGTTATGCCCGACTCTCTTTGTTGTTACTGCTCTGAGATGAGGATCTTCATGAAGGAAAGGCCGTGATCAGTGGTCTGCTAACCAGACGACTGCTAACTGTTTATTCCACTTTTCCTACTCTCTAGATTCTCAGTCTTTTACTCTAGTTAATCTGTCCCTGGTATTTTTATTCTGCTCTATGGGTAATATAGACAAAAAGCCCTGGGCAGAAGTGGCTATGCTAATTTTCTTCCTCATCTGTATACAGAACAAAGAAATCAAAGATACCATCCAGCTTATGTCTAGTGCAAAGATAAAAAATATTTTTACACAGCTGTACTATGGAAAAGGTTGAAGGTAAACAATTCACTTTTCACCTTTCCATTTGTTCACTGGGTTACACTTCAGTTTACAGTTTCTCTGTCCCAAATAATTACTATTTCATAAAATACTTCAATGCACTAGGTAAACCTGCTACGTAAAGGAATGAGGTTAATAGTTGTGTAAACTAAAAAAATAATTTGTAATATGATGTTCCCCCAAGATACACTAAATTTCATCTTAAAAACAGATAGCAAATTTTCTTTAAGCAAGAATATAACAATATTCTTTATATCATACATGGAGGTTTCTTAAAAGACTGATGTTTAAAGTTCTATAATCATATTGCAAACTAAAAACATATATAATTTCAGGTTTCTTGTAAGGTAACAAGAGCAAAACCTCTTCTTCTGTAGATTCAAGTCACGTACCTTATGTTACAAGGCAACAGTATACTACACATAAGAAGAGATGTTTCTGCGAGTCCCAAGAAGAAAGCAAAGTGTGAAAATGCCCAAGAAAATCTACTTACAGATATCATCAGTGGCATCTTCTGAACTTTTCCCTCCACAGCACATAATGAACGGCACTCTCCGTTCAACTACTGCCCGACACTGCACACACTTTTTCATCAGGTTAGCACAGTCTGGAAAATAGCAACAAGGACACTTCTTACAAGAGAAAACATGAATAAGAGAGTTGCCTCTCTCTGTTCATTTTTTTTTTTGGTGAGGAAGATCAGCCCTGTGCTAATATCTGCCAATCCTCCTCTTTTTTTGCTGAGGAAGACTGGCCCTGGGCTAACATCTGTGCCCATCTTCCTCCACTTTATATGGGACACCACCACAGCATGGCTTGCCAAGCGGTGCGTCGGTGCACGCCCGGGATCCGAACCGGCGAACCCTGGGCCGCCTCAGTGGAGCGCGCACACTTAACTGCTTGCGCCTACCAGGCTGACCCCTCTCTGTTCATTTTTATAACTTAATTTTAACACTGAGATAAACGTTAAGTTGTATCAATAGACAACTCTACCTTCTTAAAATGTTATCAAACCAGGAATTCTCCATTGGTAGTCTCTAGCATAGAGAGTCCATTATTAAGAAAATAATGACATTTTCTAATACATTGGAACAAAATTGTGACAGGGGGCTTCTCTGTTTTTTTTTGAATAAGCAACATCATAAATATTTAAGGCCTGACAATAAAGGAGGGAGATATCCTTCATAAATTTTAATTAATAATAGAATTATAAGGTTGTTCACATGATAATTTTCTAAAAATACTTTCTATTATAAATAGCTTATCTCTAAAATTCCTATAATATTTGAAAAATTCTCTTCCGTCTCTTTCTATCAAATTGATGTACTCTAACAAGGAAATCACTTAGTGACTACTTTTTTAATGTAGCAGTCATGAAAATATCAAAATTTTATCATGATGGACTCTCTAATACTTGTATATCAGTAAAATGCTCTCCCATTCCAAGAAGAAATATCTAGGCACAATTATAGGTTATTGATTGCTAATACGTCATGCATCACTTAACAACAGGGATATATTCTGAGAAATGCATCATTAGGCAATTTCATCATCATACAAATATCACAGAACATACTAAGGGGAACAAAATTGGCCACCCCAAAATGTGTCTCTTTAACATAAGGATTATTTTTAAGAAACAAAAGACTCAGAAAGTTTTCCTTATTACCTCTCTCTTAACTGCCTGAAAGAATTCAGATAAAAAACCTGTCTCAGGAAGTGAGCTGTCACCTTAGGATAACATGAACTACGCAGCAGATAGGGAGGAACCTAGAAAAGCCTGTTTGCTGGCCTCCCCTCTGTGTTCTCTTGTTTCTGTCTGGCCAAACACACACTTGTTTTCCAAACCTTTGCTCCTTTTCACCTACCTGTGAATTGTCTTCCTTTCCTTTGAAGTCCCTGACTCTCCCGACCCCCAATATCTTCCCCGTCTTTAGCTAAGGATGGTATTGAAGGCGAGGGCTTTGGCCATTTTGGCGAGTTACTCGGTTTTCCTCAGTTTCTCCCATGTATACATGTTATTAAACTTTTGTTTGTTTTTCTCCTGTTAATCTGTCTCATGTCAATTTAATTCTTAGGTCAGCCAGAAGAACCTAGAAGGGTAGAGGAAAACTTCTTCTTCCCCTACGGTACTTACACAAACCTAGATGGTATAGCCTGCTACACACCTAGGCTAACCTTATGTACTAATCTTATGGGACTGCTGTTGTATATGCAGTTCACCATTGATCTAAATGTCATTATGCAGTGCATGACTGTACTACATCTAAAGTTGTTAATTAATTATAAAATAACACATAGCACTTCAACAACTTCTTTCCAATTAGCATTTATTATGAAAGTACACTCCATACCTTAGCCTATGTACCAAATGTCTTATCATTTCAAAAACAGAAAAAATAACAGAAATTATCACAGGATATCCAGGGATAACTTATGACAAGACAGTAAACTTTAACAAAGCACAAAACCACTGATGTGGACAAGGTGGAGGGCACATACTCATAAGAGTGCTTATGCTGGTGGACAGAGAATTGCTCTCAAGGCCGATCTCATGCCAAGGCCTAAAGAGAGATGGGTTTGATGCTGGGCTATGAAGGATGCATTGGGTAGGAGATAATGCTAGTAGAAATCTGGTTTGGGATTTGTCTTCAATGTGAGGGCAGATCTTTTTTCTTAAATTTAAAAGATTAATTTAATTACCTCAATACATAATCACAATTATCTCAAATTCTTATAACTGTTAAGTTAGGTTATATTGTTTCCCTAAAATTTTTCTTCAGTCCCTCCAAAAAAGATATAATCTCTCCTTCCTTTGACCTGTCAAGACACTCTATACTCTTCAAGACTCCAATACCCTGTTTAACGTTACTGTGATATGGGTACTAACCACTTTACTGCATACTCCTTGAGAGAGGGACATTTTCCACCTTAATTTCATCTTCCCTAGAAAATAAATATTTAACAACTTGTCTGTAAAATGGAGAAAACAATCTACTTCTTAGGGTTGTTGTGAAGATAAATGAAGAAATACTCAAAAAGAGATTAAAATGCCTGGTACGAGTTAAGAGTCCAGTAAAAGTTAGCTGTTGCTCTTGTTACATTTTAAAGCAAGGACAATGTAAAAACTCTGCGAAACTCCTGGGGAAAATCCATTAAGGCTCTAGAATCTGTGTTATCAACTACTAATTATAACTAGCTTTCAAGTCTCTGTAGGTATCACCTTGGTCTACAACAGGGGTCAGCAAACTACAGCCTGTAAGCCAAACCAAACCAAACCTGCCACCTTTTTTTGTAAACCAAGTTAATGGAAAACAGTCTGGCCCATTTGTTTACATGTTGTCTATGGTTTTTTTTGCACTACAATGGCAGAGTTGAGTAGTTGGAAAAAGTTGAATAGTTACTATAGAAACCATGTGGCCCACAAAGCCAAAAATATTTATTATTTAACCCTTTACAGAAAAAGTTTGCTAACCCCTGGTCTATAAAAACTCTAATAACCCAAGTCTTTTTACTTAAGACAGATGTCTCTCTCCGTGCCCTCTGACAGTTGATAACAGCCATATACTAGCCTTTGGCAAACAGAAACAGTTAGGAGCGACAGAATGTTACAGTGGAAAAACCTTGATCCTTTCTTTAGTTAATGAGCTCTCTGTCAGAATGAAAAAAACACCAAGGCTTAAAGCAAATATACACCAATGAAAGTCATCTGTCATACAATTTCTATCTTACTTTAGTCAGATATTATATTAAAAATCAACACATACTGATTGAACTATTGTGTAAATGGGAAACACCATGCTTTACCTTGGGGTCATTCAATAAGTAAGGTATAAGTTGTTAAACTTGTTTAAAATCCTTCCTTGACAAATGTAAAAAGCGAAGGGAAGAGGAGAATATTAATACTGAACAGTGTATGAACTTAAAAAGAACAAGGGGGATATAGAAAAGCAAAATTTAAAACATCTCTCAAACTTTAATATTATCCTCACAAAGAAAAGATTTCCACAAGCTCTCTTGACATAGAGGTTAAGAAAGGTTAAGAAGGCCAGAAATTATAGCCCCAAATGGCTGCTGTGGGTGCTTTAGCAGTGGGGAATGTACTCGAGAGAGGCAATACTAAGGTGAAGACTAACGAAGACGTGCTAATTTTCTATGTGAAAAAAGCTAGACTCAATGTCTTAATATTCATTTTTGGAAATAAATTTCTATTGTGTGTGAGAAGAGATCCTTTGTGCTAATACAAATGAAATCAAAATTCAGGCTGGTAGAAAACAGCACATTCTCTAACGCTCAGGGGCAAGGAGGAAAATAGGTGACATTCTAGTACAGAGAAAGAAATGGAAAGTACTAGAGGCCCACCAACTTTTCTGTTCGTGAGTTATCACACACAAAAAATTCAAAGATATAATTTGTTTCACATTCTATTTTTATAATAATACCGAGGAAGTTTTATATAGGCTACTTACTCTCACAAGCACACATGTGTCCGCATGGTTGAAAAAGAACAGCTGCTTTCTTGTCAGAGCATACCACACATTCTTCAATCTACAAAAAAGAGGTTACAGCACACGGGTGAACATCTACAGATACATCTAGTAACTCTAACAGTTCCTTTTGTATCCAATGTATTTCCTCTATAAGGAAACACTCCTAGGCACAGAGGAATTTCACACACACTGCTCTGTCCCTTTACTCTCTTGGTAAAGAGAGTTTGCATCTTTGTATACTGCAGCTTAACAGGTTCTATTTCCACTTTAGTCTCCCCCTCTGCGCTAAAGAATGATATAGCAAAACTCCATTTCCTCTGAGGTCAGGAAGACCAAACTAGACTTCAATTTTCTTTTTTTTGAAAACTACTGTTGAGAGAAAAAGAAAAAGAAAAAATGACTAAGATAAGATAGATTTCTCATATTAATAAAAATCCAGCTAGATTAGCCAGATTGCTACAGCCCAAGGTGGATTCTTCTGTTTACCCACATTGAAGGAACTCTACCTAACACAACCTTTTCCAGGACTTGGTCAATTCCCCCACATGGCTGGAGCCCAAAGCTTTGCACTATTCTCTCTTCTTGATCTCTAAAGCCACAAGTCTTCCACAACCTATTCATAATTTCCCTCGATTTTACCTCTTCTTCATCTCCTCTTAACCTGAGTTGTGAGTGTGTAACTATTTCTTAGCCTTGGCCTGGCCCCTTTCACCCTCACCCCACCACACTGCCCTTGGTTTCACATCCATCTTGCACCTGTTCTTCTCCCTTCTGACACACTCACATTTACCCATATCTTGTGTCATTTTATATTACTGTCCAAAAATGATGACTATCACTCACCTATAACTTCACCTAAACAACCAAATACTGCACACACTCTCTCTCTATGGACTTGCCCAACTTATATCTTGCTGTGCACATAGAATTTACATAGTTGTAGTAATGTGGAAAGCAGTAAGACACAGTTGGTCAGAATCTTGACATTCCTGGATTCCAATTCTAGTGCCAATACCAACAAATTACCTAACATAGTTGAGCTGCAGCTTTTTTTCATCTGAGCATTAAAGAACAATCCCTCTTTACAGGATAATAATGAGTAAATTAGAAGATAGAGAAGTTAAGTGACCCAAATTCAAGTATACCCTTGAACAATTCTAAATACGAGATAGTGAGGGCATAACTGAACTAAGACATAGCAATATGGAGGGGTAGAAAGAGTTTTGAGAAATATTTAAGAAGACTTGGTAAATAATAAAACGTGGGGAATGGTGAAAAAATCTAATAAGATATCTGCTAAGTTTCTAACTTGACTAATTGATTCAAAACAGTTGAAAGAAACAAATTTCAGTATCCTACAGCTTACAGGACTCATGACCAGGGTGTTCTTTCCAACTCAAGGACGACACATCCAGGCTTCAGTCGTATTCAAGGTCAGAGTACAATGAGGGAGTGGTTACCTTCAGTACACCAATCTACCCCCAGACTGCAAACACTAAGCAGTACACCACTAGAACGGCAGGTGGGGAGCAGAAATAGGAAGACCTTGGAAACAGGTGCCTAAGAGACCTGAGGTAGGCACACTAATTTTTCATAGCTCCTGACAAAGACTTTCCTCTCTCATAAAGGAGACTGGGTAGGGCTGAGTACCATGGCTAAGTTTCAAAGGTGTGTCAGCTAGCTATGTGGCTGGCTAGTAAGGTCAACAGAAAAGTAGGCACAATCTGGGTGAAAAAAGAAATGAAAATCCCAAATGTTAGCAACTAGAGAGATGGACAAAAGTCTCAAAAGCAAAGATGGCAAGGAGGCGAAACTCTGATGATCTAGCCACTTGTACCCAAGAAGCATTTTCATACAAATATTTTAAGAACTATATGTGCTAAGTACTGGCCAAAGATTCACATATGACCTTGAAAAAAATATAAATTAGATACTATGTGTAAAGTGTTTAATTCAATGTCTAATTTAAAATTAGTGCCCAATACATGATAATTTTCTTATCCTCTCTATACAGTGATGTACTGGTTTTTAAAATGATCCCCAATTCAACTGTCTATGTACTTGAATTGTTTATAAAGAGTTTAAAATAATGTAGCAAATTGATCTAATAATCATTTACTTACCCATTCCCCTATAATATATACATATAAAAAAGCTTTGTAACCATAATTTTTTCCCCTTTTTGGATTTCTTCCTTAGGTTATATTCCCAGAAATGGGATTACTATATCCAAGCATGTTTATTATATATATATATTATCAGGACAGTCTCTCAAAAACATGAATCCATTTATTCCATTACTTTCCAGCAGTGTTAAGAGAGTGCCCATTTCCCACTTTCCAGGCTAGCATTTTTTAAAATTTATTTTTGCTAATTCGACAAAAATGGTTAATAATAATTCATAGTTTTTAAATTTGTATTTCTTTAATTGCTAAAGAGACCAAGTTTGTTTATTCTCCCTCCCTCCAAATACTAATTCTATAATTTGTTTTATCTTCAGTGAAGATGTTCATTATCTTTTAACCACTTGGGGTCACTAGTTCTTTATATTCAAAGGCTCTGCACCAACCTGGCAAATCTATCTGGTGGGTGTGTTAGTTTTTGTATTTTTCTACAGGTTTGAAAATTCCATAATTCAAAAAGTCAGTTGAAAGCTTATTAATTCTTGGAATTCAGAACTGGTCCAAAAAGAAATGACAGCATATTCCTTCCTCTCTACCTCCCTGTTCCATCAACCCTCCCTTATAGACATTGTTTTTAATTTTGTCTGTGTACCATAACACAGTGGAAAGAAGAGGGACTTAAGAATCCAGAGAACTGTGTTGCAGACCAAACTGTCAGTATTCTTCTTTGAGCTTCAGTTCTTCCTACTGTAAATACCTAGAGTTGGACTAGACGATGAGTAAGGGCTATTCCATATCTGAGACTCTGCTTTTGACAACCTGGGGCTCTGAACTCACTTTACACTCTCTCTCAAAGCACCAACAACATCCTATATGGCAGACGAGCTTTTAATGTAAAACATAGTTGCCAAGAGATTACAAATTTTTAGCAAGGAATTATCATATACATCTCTGTCTTGACTACAAAACAAGTACTCAATAAAGGTTTGTTGAAATAGGGCTTAATCTAACAAAAAGTTTCAAGCACGACAGCAGAATACATAGTCCAATCTAACAAGAGAATGGCTTAATTTTTTTTCTTTCAGATTCTTTCCCAAACTGTTACCTTGTAAGCAGGTAACTAAAGTAAATTACAAACACCAGGCAGAATGATCCACATTAATTTATTAAGCAGGACTGACACAAACATAATGCACATAAAGTACCGACACAGTGCCTGGCACACAGTAAGTGCTGTTAGCTCATCCTCCTCAGCTTCACAAATAGATTAAACAGCAACACATGTACGACTATTTCAGCACTTTCCATCCAAAAATAACTTCTTTATACTTTTTCCTGCACCAAAAGTTTTACCAAAGATATATTCATTTGGATCATAAAAAATATCCAGCCTTAGAAGGTTCCCTATGAAAATGTAAGATGCACTGGTAAGATAACACTTTTTAAGTCACCACCAGCTAATTCATTATGAGAATTAGTGCCAGTTCCTTTCTAATTAATGAAGGTTAATGAATAGCTTAGGAGACATCAAAAGAAAAATGAAAATAATAAAAAGAAGGGAACGAAAAAAAGAGTGTAAACTTCATATATGAAACCAAAGAAAACCAACGTATCTTTTGGTTTAAGCTACTCATCTTGAGAGAAATCATTTGTAAGAGACTTAAATCTCACTTTACACACACATACACACACATTAGGAAAAACTGAAAAAGAAAATCAATTATTTCAGTAAACCAAAATGAGTAAGATGGTACAGTTATGATAAAGCACTAGGTTATATGGAAAAAGAATGAAATCAGAAGTCTAGAAAAGAATACTATTTCTCAAAAAGCAAAAGGAGTCAGATGACATAAGTTAAGACTGCATTCAGAATTTGGCCATCACTAATTGCAAGACAATCAGACTTTATTTGCTTTCTGGTGGGACACACTATAAAATGAATAGCATCATCTGTGAAGTTTTTTTGCCAAAAATGTGTAAGCTAACCCTAATCAAGTTGTTAAATCTAACTTCTAGTTTACAGGAAACACGGAGGATATAGAAACAAATTAAACAATGCCATGATAAAATAATCAAATAAATCCAGAATGTGTGACATGCCAAAAAAACGAAATCAACTGGTCTTCTATAAAGATCAATACAATACAAATCAATCCATGCACTCAAAAAAGGTGAAATGTACAAATAACTACAATACAAAGTGGAATTAAATACATCTTTCAGTTATAAGAGGCTTTGAAAGCAAAACAGTAGATTACTTTTATTTTTGACTACTACAGTTTACACATAAGAAGGAAACTCATAATTGGTCTCTCGATAAATGTATAAATTATACATTCCTATACTTAATCATTCTTAGGAAGAACAAAATTAAACAGACACATGGCATTATATAATCTTATTAACTGTAGTCTCAAAGAACTTCATAAAATGATAAAATATTATATTAAAAACATATTACCTTTGTCCTGGATTGAACTTGTTCTTTACAGATGAGGCATTTCTTGACTCGTGGAGAACATAAAGAACAGGTAGCAATATGTCCACATGGGCCAAAAAGAGTATCTCTCTTCATATCTGAACACACCATACACTCTTCTAAGGTTTCAGAATCATTACTAATCATAGAAGGACTTCGAGAACCCACTTGGCCACTAATAAAAGAAAATAATTCTAATCAAGCCTATCAGAATATTTGTTACAAATTCATTAATTAAAATATTTTTAAAAACATGTAGGGCATCATTATTATATATAAAAACAGCTTTAGTTATGTTAAAAAATTAAGCTTTAATATCTGTATGTGAAACACTATATACTATTATTTTATTTATATACATCTCTGCATCTTTACATATTTCTAATACTTTTCAAATTTCAAGTGAACAAATCCTCACCTAGTGGAAAAGGGTGAATCTTCTTGTAACAAGGAAATCAAAAACACTAGATGAAAAAAAAATTCAACATAAACACAGTTTCACTCTACATAGAACCAGCTAAGGAAGGCACAGAAATCAAACAAATCCTAACCAGAGCCCATGTTAGTTATCCTAACTACAGACAGAATGAAGCAGCATCAGAATCCACAACTGACAAATAAGAAAATATGTCACTGCAGCTGCTGTTTTGACATATAAGTGTATCCTTAAGAAGCATAGAATTCTATTATAGAAAGACAGAATGTATCTATAGATATATAAAGACAGACTGCATCTATAAATATATAGATACAAGACACAGAAATACATACAAATGACAAACTACTCCTAGAGAAAAAGGATACTCCATTTCCACTACAATCTTCAGAAACTCATGAACACATGTGCAGACAGACACACATACACAAAGCATTTTCAACTTAGACCCCAGTGTTAAAGTTATTACTGCAGTAATTATAGCGCCTTGTATCTATATATTTTTAGATGCATTCTGCCTTTTTGTAATAGAACTGTATTCTCCTTAAGGATAAACTTAAAGAAATGTATACACCTCATTCTATTAATTTCCCTATAACACAGCTCTATGCATGGATTCCAAAGAGATGTCATTTCATCACTACACACAAATTATAAGAGAGGGAAAGGAGCACAAAGGTCAAGGAACAACTATTGAAATGTCCAACGATAAGAACCAGGTATAAAGAGCAGTAACAGTTGTACAGCACCGTTTGGATGAAAAAGAAATGAGATCTATCTTTTGGTATGTCTATAATATCTAATAAGAAATTTAGTTATATCATAAACAATAACTAAAACCATTAACATATTTTACTTTTGGAAAAGAAGACAAGTGTGAAACGATTTTCTTTTTTTTTTTTGCTGAGGATGATTTGCCCTGAGCTAACATCTGGGGCCAATCTTCTTTTTGTATGTGAGCCACCGTCCCAGCATGGCCTCTGACAGATGAGTGGTGTAGGTCTGCACTCGGAAACTGAACCCAGGCCACGGAACCAGAGTGCGCTGAACTTAACCACTAGGACACCAGGGCTGGCCCTAAATGATCATTTTTAGAGAAAACTCCATCAGGAATTGGTTAATTCATTTGTTCATTCTTTCTTTGATACTTATGAAGTATCTGTGAGGCACTGTGCAGGGTGCCAGAATTATTACAGAGTTTGTGTGAGATATATCCTACAGGTGAGCGTGTAAATTGCCTCTCTTTGAAACAGTCTATTAAAATTTTAAATACATATAATCACAGCATTTTCACTAGTGAGACTTTTCCTTATAGATAAATTTCTCTAACATATAAGGGTACTGGAAGATCAGACTGGTTTAGAAAAGTTTTTTAGAACTTATTATGCACAAAGCATCATATTTAATAATGTAGAGAATACAACATGAAATAAGAGACACGCTACCTGTAGGAAAACTTTTAAAGAAGAAAGGGTCAACACAAAGATAGAGGAAGAGCAAAGACAAAGACATTTTCAAGTAATCAAGTCCTCCATTATGAAACCACATGATATTTTATGTATAGAATATTAAGTTTTATGATAATAAATAATACAAACCTGACTTTTTCTTTATGACACTTTGCCAGTGCTTTGCAGAGACTTGGATCAGGACAGAGATCAAGCGGCGATTGACCTTTCTTATTTCGAATGCTAAGGTCAGCACCATTAGCAGCCAAGAAACACGCAATAGATGCTGCACTCTTCTTCTCTGCCCCCTGGGTACCAAGTCCCATTATTAACTGAAATCAAATGAAGCGAGTCATTATTTTCCCCTTAGGAATCTGTTATCAACTCTTACCACCAACTATATATATATGTATGTATGTGTATATACGTATGTATATATAGAGAGAGTCACGTCACTTAAAAACAGAGACCTGCGTCACTCTGCGAAACACGTTGTTAAGCAATTTCCTTGTTGTATGAACATCACAGAGTGTACTTATACAATCCTAGATGGTATAGCCTACTACACACCTAGGCCATATGGTACTAATCTTACTGGACCACTGTCATATAGGGAGTCTGGTCCGTCATTGACCAAAACACTGTTATGCAGCACATGACTATAAACATATGAATGTGTGTATGTGTGTATTATATATAAAAATACATGTCTGGGAAGAACTTACAGACTATATAGATATGGTGGACATTTGAGTTGCAGTCCTAATAGCCATTCCCCCTCCCTCCTACCCCTAATTTTCTCAGGCATATAGTTTGAGGACTGACCGACTCTCTAGTGTTAGAGGTGGACCAAAGATGACTCAAACCAGTCAGGTATCCACCTCCCACCTCATCTATGTGATTAGTTCAGGGATGACATATAACCCAAGTCAGGTCAATTTAAGGCCAATGAAACTCAGCAACAGGAATTCTGATTGAGATATTGAGGAAACAGTACTCTCTTTTCTATTCAGCTTGGCTCTGGAGCTGCTAGCAACCAACTTGAAACAATAAGGGGAGAGAAAACTGAGGAAAGAACCATACCTAGGAATTAAACCAAAAATGAAGAATGAGACAAATCAGGCTCTGATATCATCCAAGCTACTGATTCAAACATCTTATTTGAAAATAGTCATAATAATTGTGAACATTTATAGAGTATCTACAATGGACCAAGAACTATTTCCATGAATTAAGTCATTTAATCCTTACAACCTTATGGAGGTAGTTACTCTCCTCCCCTCATTTTAAAATGAGAAAAATGAGGCACACAGGAGTTAGAGAATTTACCTTTGGTCATAGAGAAAGGCAGCAATTCTGAAACACTCTTTGGTCTCAGAACCCCTTTACATTCTTAAAAATGATTTTAAAATTCATAGGAAAGGTGAAGGAATTACAATAGTCAAACAACTTCAAAAAAGAAGAAAATTGGAGGACTTTATGCTACCTGACTTCAACATTTATTATAAAGCTACAGTAATCACGACAGTGGGCTGGTATCACACAGCTCAAGACACAGCCCAATAGAACAGAACATGGGATCTGAAAAAAGACTTCACATATATGGTTAATTGATTTTGGATAAAGGCATAACAGGCAATTAAGCAGAAAAAGACAGTCTTTTCAACAAATGGTGCTGGAACCTACGCATCGCTCATCAAGCCATGCTGTGGCAGCGTCCCATATACAAAATAGAGGAAGGTGAGCACAGATGTTAGCTCAGGGTTAATCTTCCTCAGCAAAAAAGAGGAAGATTGGCAACAGATGTTAGCTCAGGGTCAATCTTCCTCACCAAAAAAAGAACGAAAAGACAAGCCACAGACCAGGAGAAAATATGTACATATCACATATCTGATAAAGAACTTGTATTCAGATTATATAAAGAACTCTCAAAACTCAATGGTAAGAAAACAGCTCAACAAAATAATGAACAGTTCATCAAATATGTGTGCGTGGCAAACGAGCAAATGAAAAGATGTTCAATATCAGTAGTCATTAGGGAAATGCAAACTAAAACAACAACAAGATATCACAACACACCTATCTGAATGGCTACAGTTAAAAAAGAACCACAAAACAACTTTTGGTAAGAATGTAAAGCAATATGTGACTAGTACTTAGTTCATAAACTAAATTTCTACCTAGCTCTGATAAAATATTTTATCAGATGCAGGTTAAATTAGCATAAATATAAGATCTTGCATTAAAAGATGCTTCCACTAGTACTGAATCAAAGATTATCTTTACTCACTGTGTTTTTGGATGGCTCCCAGGCAGCATCAACCTTCCCCACATCTTGCATATCTTGGAGCTGACGTAGCTGAGACAAGGTGTGATGCCTCAGAGCTTCGTGCAAAGGAGTATCCCCATCCTTATCCTGAATATCTAATTTGGCACCTGCACGGACCAAAAGCTAAAAGAGAAACATCTCATTTTGCTAAAGTATCCCTGCCACAAGAAATTACAACATCTCTACAGTAACAGTGAGAGAGCCCTGGACCTACCTGAAGGAGTTGCCACTAAAGCTAATTATTTTTATGTATCTGCTTCCTACTACTCTATACCCCTATGGCTCCTTACAAATAGTGATGAGCTCTGGTTATTCAAATACATCAAATTAGAAAGAACAGAAAGAAATGAGAACCAATATGTTGTTTAATTCACCTACTCTAAGATCAAGATAACTGGGGGAAATTTAGGACAATTTTTTTCTCCTTTTAATTTCAGATATGTGAGTTGGGACATTTTAAGTACTTCCAATGGGACCAACTCATAATGCTCAAAATTCTTCTATTATTTAAACAAATAAGCAAAAGTTATTATTTATTCTATTATCTTTGGTCAACTTTCTCCAAATGTATGGTCACATAAGGAAAGTCATTATCAGAGATAAAGGAAGAATATTTAACAAGAGGAATTTAAATACAATAAATGTGAATTGTTTGCTAAACTACAACCTCTTACATAAAATGCATAATTGACATATTTCAATAGATTTTAAGTAGTAAATATAACTTTATTTAAAGACTTTGCTTATGGTGCTTTAAGAATTTTCCTAATCCTTTCTACAAATGTTATCAAAGTTTTAGAAAAACACTGTACACAGAAGCCAATCTCAAGCATACGGTCTTACCTGTCTTAGCAAATTACCTTTCTTTTTCTTTTTTTTTTACTTTGTTCCAAAAAGGTTACATAAAATGTCACTCTAGGGCAGTGCTTCTCCAATTTGAACTGCATCAGGATTACCTGCAGGGCTTGTTAAACCACAAATTGCTAGTTCCCCACCCCGGAGGTTCTGATTTGGCTGGTCTGAGGTAGGGCCCAAGGACCTTTCTAGGATGCTGCTGGTTCAGCCTCCAAACTTTAAGAATCACTACTCTACAAAAAAATTTTAAATAGATAATCTTTCAAACATTTTGTCTAGAAAAACCAGATGAGTAAAATAAAAATACATATCTCAGCTTTGTTGGAATCTGCAGCAACAGTCCAGCCAAAGTTTTTAATTATGGCTCACTCTCAATTATACAAATTAAGAGGGAAGGTACTTTTTAAAAACTATTTTATATGTTACTTTGAAATTCTATGATTTTTTTTTTTTTTTTTGTGAGGAAGATCAGCCCTGAGCTAACATCTGTGCTAATCCTCCTCATTTTGCTGAAGAAGACCGGCTCTGAGCTAACATCTATTGCCAATCCTCCTCCTTTTTTTTCCCCAAAGCCCCAGTAGATAGTTGTATGTCATAGTTGCACATCCTTCTAGTTGCTGTATGTGGGACGTGGCCTCAGCATGGTCGGAGAAGTGGTGCATTGGTGCGCGCCCGGGATCCAAACCCGGGCCGCCAGCAGTGGAGCGCACGCACTTAACCGCTAAGCCATGGGGCCGGCCCTGAAATTCTATGATTTGATATTCTGGGATTTCACAAGTCTGGCAACAAAATTATAAAGACTTTGAATATCAGAGTTTTAAGACTTTTCCCTATTATAAATTAAAATTCTTTCAATTGATATAAAATATTAGCCTAAAATCATAATTTTTACATCTAACTATGCCTTTTGAGAAATCTAACGTTTCATTTAAATTTCAAGACATTCTAGAACTCTGTTAAAATACAACTGTAAGCTCAGAGACATGTCAGTAAACACTGTACCCTCACGATCTGGGTGTGTTGTCGTTCCACAGCAAGGTGTAGGGCAGTCTGCTGGTTCACATTCTGGATATCCAGGTTTGCATTACCCTGAAGAAGAACAAAGTTTACAGAGTTAAAATTTGACAACAGTGAAAAACACTAAAACCGTAACTCTTTGTGAGGAATAAACAATATTGGACACTGTTGACCACTCTTCTCTCCTCTAGCTGATGGGGCATTGTTCTCACATGGTAACAGCTGCAGGTAACACAGGAAGAAACGGATGGGGCAGCAAACTTTCTGAAGTAGAACAGCAAGTTTAAAATAATTATTTTTATTATGGTGACTCCATCTAAGAACAGTTCAAGGAGAAAGTACAGGACAGAGTCAAACATAGTTTCCTTTCAATCTCCATTATAGAGCAATGGAGATAATCAGCTCCTTTTAACTGTAAATACTTCCTGAAAAGTTCATATGGGATTCAGATTTATATTCGTGACCTAATAAGGTCACTTCCTCTTGTTGCATAATTGAGCTCTTCCCCATTCAGTGAAAAGGAACTTTGCTTGAGAGTGAGAAGACGACAATGCTTAATTAGTATTAAAAATACATATTAAAGGAAGAGCAGCAAGTCCCATCAGGGTCCTGGGATAGCCAAAGGACCATAAGGGAACATATGATGCCAAGGACAAAGGAAAGGGACTGAGAGGCAAAAGCACTGAACTGTGAGCATCAGGGGACCTGGGTTCAAGCAGTGTCACTTATGAGCTTTGTAAACTTAAGCAAGCATTATACCATTTTATGCCAATTTCCTCAGCTCCAAAATGGTAACAGCATAACCTACTTTACAGAGTCAATGAGAGGATTAAGAAAAGTAACATGTAAACTGCCTAGCACAATGTCTAGTATAATAAAAAAAAAAAAAAAAATTGAAATTAAGAAAAGGGCTACAGATTCAAAAGATAAACTTTATCATTCTTTTTACGTCTCAGAACCATTCATGCCCTCTGACTACAAGTCTGATACTTACCTACCTGTGCCCTTGCTAGGAGCATCACGTAGAGCTGAAACTCCGGTAATGCCATGACATATTCTGGAAGATGGGAGTTTCAGGTTTGTTTTCACTATTTATGTTTCTTTGAGTTGATCATGAGGTACTGATCTCAGCTTGTTTTCTTACCATGTCTGTTCTCATATAAATGCAGAAGGTGAGGGATTTTCTTTTTAAGTTTCCTGAACTTTTCCACCATTTAGATTTTCCAAAGTAGCATTCATTGTATGGATGTACATAATTTGTTTATCCAGGCACTAGTTGATGAACATCTGGCTTGCTTCCAGGTTGGAGCTATTATAAATAAAGCTACTATAAATATTTAGTATTTGTGTGGAAATGTGTCCTCAGTTGTCTTGGGTACATAACTAGAAGTGGGATTGCTAGATCGCACAGTGAGCACATGTTTAACTTCAGAAGAAGCTGCCAAATTGTTTTTCAAAGTGTCTGCTTTGAAAAACACCAGCAGTGTTTATGATTTCTAACTGCTCCACCTCCTCATCAACACTTGGTTTTTAGTCCCTGTAATTGGTGAGTAGTAGTATCTCATTGTGGCTGTAATTTCTGTTTCCCTAATGACCAATGGTAACTTAAGCAAAGTCAGGATACCCGGTCAATATATCAAAAAAAACTGTATTTCTATATACTAGTAATATAGAATTAGCAATTGAAATTTTAAAACAATTTACAATAGCATCAAAAAATTACCTAAAGATAAATCTAGTATGTGCAAAAACAATCAAACTACCAAAAGACTTTTTAATAGAAACTAATAATCTGATTCTAAAATATGGAAATTCAAAAGATCTAGAATATTAAAGTAATTTGAGAAAGAAGAACAAAGTTGGAGGACTTACTGTAACTGATTTCAAGACTTACTATAAAGCAATAATAACGCAGACAGTGTGGTATTGGCTTAAGGTCAGTCCCTTAGATTTTGGATGAAAAGGAATTTATAATAATTAACAATACTCCTAATAGAAATAACTTTAATAAAGGCTGAAAATGGCAGGGGAAAGGCAGTTTAACTTTTGAACTATTTCTTTTTTTGTTTTTTTGCTGAGGAAGATTCACCCTGAGCTAACATCTGTGCCAATCTTCCTCTGTTTTGTATGTGGGTCGCTGCCACAGCATGGCCACTGACGAGTGGTGTAAGTCTGAGCCCGGGAACTAAACCTAGGCCACCAAAGTGGAGCATGCCGAACTTAACCACTAGGGCACGGGGCCAGCCCCCATGCACTATTTCGTTATCTAAATTTCTGTAGTTTACGGAGTGTCTATCCTATGATCTGGGACTTAATTATATATAATGTACTATCTACTAAATTTTTCTGCTATTTCATCTTCTTAACTAGACTGTAAGTTCCTTGAAGTCAGGGATCACAGATAATTCTTTGGTAACTTCAGTGCTTCTATATGGCATATGCTTGATTAAAGCACTTAACAAGTTTGCTGAATATACTAAAACACCATAAAACTGCAATACATAGGTTCCCAAAAAAATCCAATTTCATAAAAATGCAGAGTCATTCTATTTCTGAGATGAATGAAATGACTAAGGTGAGCCTGTGTCACTTTCCAGCCACAGATTCCAGAGGTTCATCAGGAGTCATGAACTGAATCCCCAGATCTTGGCTACAGCCTGGTGTTACCTGATGGCAATCCCCAGCTTAGATATCAACATGATGGTTCTTGGTCCCATGGCTGACTGATACTTTTATAACAGCGACAGCAATTCTGGGAAATTCCTTTTAGTTAATGCCCATTTCATCAGACCAATCCAGAAAGACTGTGCAGAGGGAATACTGAGCTGATGGATCCACTCGCATACACACACACACACACACACACACACACACACCACCTCCCTCTATTTAAGAACCACTGTTAGGCAGACCCACTGTTAGGCAGAAGACTGAATATGCACTATAGCTGAATTTGCATCATCATGGGATTTTATTGTAACCTACTAATAGGTAGGTGATGAAGTAATAAATGAATGGCAATGGTCCAAAATTGTTAAAAATTATTGAACTGCTTTTCCTACCTGATGTACCAACAGTTCAGCCACTTCAACATGATTATTAAGGGCAGCCAGATGCAAGGCAGTATAACCATCATCTTTCTTCTCATCCACAATCCATGGTCTTGGTAATTTAGATAGTAAAACACGCATTGCACTGAAAATCAAATTTACATTATTTTAATATTTACATAATTTTATATTTAATATTTTATTTTCTTTAGAAAAAAATATTCAAAAGAAACTTCTGAAATCAAATGAAAATATTCCTCTGTAAAGAAAATTATGCCCTTAGAGACAAACAGAAATTCAATTTTTCTAAATCTCAAATGTACAGCTTTTTGATATTTTAAGAAGTAAACAAAATATCACTATTTGGAGAATAGAACCAAAATAGAATGAGAGTGCTACAAAGGGGAAACATTATGAGAGGAAAAAAAACCAAAGGAGAAAAAAAATTATCCTAATAAGGACACAATTTTAGCTTTGTGGAATCTCTTAGGTTCAATTTGAATAGTACATATTAACGAAAGAGTTAATAAAGAACAACCAGGTAACAACAATAACAAAGTAGGAAAAATAGTGATAATTGAGACAAATTTTATGTAACTGGCAAATTATCATGAACTCTCCAGAGTTAAAAATCTGATATATGTCATTTAGTAGTGCTAAATCCAGTTGACAGCAAAAGACACAAAATGGTCATAATCTAATACTTAAAATTTAAGAATTGGTAACAAAGTATTTTCAAAGCAAAAAAGACAAAGTTATCCTAAAGAACACCAAAGATTAAACCATAAAAGAACAGAGGAACTAATTATCAAGAAATGATACTTCTTAAAGAAAAAGTCACCCTACTCCCAAAAAAGAAAAGTGAAATTAGAAGCAACTTTTCTTAACATACATCAGTAACTTTTCTTAACAGAAAGGTTGTATGTGGAAACCTCATAATATAATTTGGAAAAAAAGTTCCCTTAATATACTTATCCACCAATTGTTTTTTTTTTAAGACTGAGACCTAAGGTAGCTGCTCCTGTAAGAAGTGTTGGACTTGGCAGGGACAGCACTGATATATATATATGTTAGACACTGAATCTTCCCCCACACCTAAAAAAGGCAGTAAACGCAGAAAAGAAAAGCTTTTAAAATTGTCCCAGTGAGAGTAAAAAAGGGCAAGAAATAATAGTAAGATACATATTGGGATAGTTTTTCCTAGGGTGATATATACAAGAGAGAAAATTTTCAAACAGAGAAATGTTATAAACATGTGGAGAAACGGTCTGAAGATGCAGAATAAGAATGTGTGCAAATGAAACTGTTTAAGTCTCTAAAATAATGATACTATGGCCTAACATGACCCAGAATATGTTTCCTTAATGGCAGTGGTCTATGAATCCCATGTAGGAAGACCAAAAAGTCTGAAAGCAGGCTTTCGAGTATCCCAGAACCTCTAAAACTGTACTCAAATTTGGAAGTTTATAGCTTTTATCAGATTTTTAAACAGGTTTATGATACAAAGTATATTGAGAATCACAGCTTAAAGATATCCTTCAGTGGTTGTTACTGAAGTTACAATCATTGTTTAGGGGTGACAGACTTCTTTGGAAATCTACGGACCCCAGAGAAATGCATGTAAAAATCTTTACCTACAATTCTGAGGGAGTCTACAGACCCCTAAATCCCATTCATGAACCTCACACAAAGCTAAGGTTTCCTGCTTTAGTTCATTTTCAGTAATTATAAGGATTCTAATCCTCCTCACTCAGTGGATTAAAATAAAATACTCAATATTATGTAGACCTGGACTCAGATTTTTAACAGGGAAAAGTACTGGTCCAACATTATACTACTGAATGTTTGGATATGACATAATCATGATGCTAATGCCATACATTATCTATTACTCTACACACATGACCATGGGAAAAACAGAATTTATAGGAGTTTTATAATTCTTTTGGAGAGTTTTGAAGATGCAAGTATTAAATCATGGGAAAAAAAGTTTTACTAAACACAAAATATAATCATTAAAAATAATAATGCAAACACATTATTGATTTAAAGAAAAACTGTGATATAACTATGTTGACAGAAATGGTGGTAATAGAGAGTGTTAACAGTTTTAAATATTCACTTTCCATGACAGGAAATCAGTAGATAATGTTTACAATTGATAAACTAAGAAATTGCAGGATAAGCAGCAAGTTATTTGGGGGGTGGAGGAGGAGGACAGAGATGAAGAGGGATAAAGCAGAAGACAGTTCTCTTTCATTATAAGCTTTGTAGTACTATTTGACTTAACTATGTATATATATTAGTTTGATTAAAAAAATGTAAGTTAAAACACTAAGATAATATTTGGGCTTATTATATTCAATCTTTTTAATTTGCAACTTTACTCCTTGTAGCTAAGATATATAAATGTTACAGTAAGTTTTAAATTACACAGTGTGGTCCACGCTAATTTCATCAAGTTGTTTTTTTAAGTCACATTATTGAATAGATATTCCTGAGAAGTTGGTTCCTATGGAACCATGTTTCCCTCTGTCTTCCACTCCAGTTTCAGAAGTACATTCCCATATTACACTGCCAATAGCTCAAAGGAAGGACAGCGAAAGAGGAGCAATTCAACCTCTGAGTATAAGCTGTCTGCTGAGATGGAGCCATCACTTAACTTGTTCTTCCAGTCTTGCATTTTATAAGTGAACAAGGTAGAGAAAGCTGAGGCCCCTCAGAAAGAAGAGCCAACGGCTCAGCAAGTTACTAAGGCATTTAAACAGAAACAGATATGTATTCTTGAAAGCGTGTTGCCTCTCTGCTCTCTCATTACTTTGTGTCTTTTTGCTTTTTCCTCTCTTAGCACAATGTGCACAACTGAACTGTCAGAACAAGGGAAAGGTAGTAATTCCAGGCTACTGTTGGAAGTGACAAAATAATCCTCGTCACTTCTAGATCACATTCTACAAAGTAAATCAAATCCTAATATTAAAATGGAAAATTCAGGGGCTGGCCTGGTGGCATAGGGGTTAAGTTCGCGTACTCTGCTTCGGCAGTCCAGGGTTCCCAGGTTCGGATCCCAGGCGCAGACCGACACATCACTTGTCAAGCCATGCCGTGGTGGTGTCCCATATAAAGTAGAGGAAGATGGGCACGGATGTTAGCCCAGGGCCGGTGTTCCTCAGCAAAAAAAAAAAAAAAAAAAAAAGAATGGTCTTGACAAAAATTATTCTAAAATATAGTCTCTTGCCTTAATATACTTTTAAAAGAACACAAGACTAAACTATTTTGTTGATAACTCAATTACAGCAAAATCAACTCCTGATTAACATGGGAAGAAACACTGCAGATAGCCCCAAATCAAAATTAACACAAAAGTCAACTGTCAACTAGCCAGGAGTGACATTAATTTTTGTTGTTGCTGTTTGTATATAAACTTTTTATTTTAGAACTCTTAGATTTACAGAAAATTGTGAAGATAGTACAGAAAGTTCTTCACTCCTACTGTTAACATTTTACATTAGTATGGTACATTTATTACAATTAATGAACCAGCACTGATTGTGATTAACTACAGTCCATACTTCATTTCTATTTCTTTAGTTTTTATTTATTGTTCTTTTTCTGCTCCAGAATACATTACATTTAGTTGAAAAGTCTCCTTAGGCTCCCCTTGGTTGTGATAATTTCTCAGACTTTCCTTGTTTTTGATGACTCTGACAGACAGTGTTGATAAATACTAATCAGGGATTTTGTAGAATGTCCCTCAGTTGGAATTTGTCTGATGTTTTTCCCATGATTACACTGGGATTATGAGTTTCGGGGAGGAAGTTCACAAAGGTAACGTGCCATTTCATCACATCACATCAAAGGTGCATTTTATCAACATGACTTATCACTCTCAATGTTAACCTTGATCACCTGGCTGAGGCAGTGTTTGTCAGGTTTCTCCACTGTAAAGTTACTCTTCTTCCCCCTTTCTATACTACAGAACGCTATACAATATACTCTTTGGAAGGAAGTCACTATGTACAGCCTACACTTAAGGAGTAGAAAGTTATGTTCCATTCCCTTGAGGGTGGAGTACCTACATAAATTATTTGGAAAACTTCTACACTGGAGATTTGGGGTAGATTAATTTTTACAGAGAACTATAACCCTCTCATAATAACTAGAAAGCCACTAATTAACGTTCATTACTGACCTTCCTCCCCGTGAAAACCAACCAAACAGAAACAAATAATACAAGGCCTCAAGAAAAGAGCCAATCTTTGGGCCCAGGCTGCAAGGTGAGCTAAGGAGAAGTTAAACAGGACAGTCTCTGGTCCCCTTACCCTCACATCAAGAGCTGCTCTGAGAGGCTTGTCTCCTTTCTTTCCATGGGATAGACAACCTTAGGAACCCACAATATAACTATGAAGGCCAGTTGCAGGCTGTTCTCTACAGCACCTTAGTTAATTAAGAGGAGCCTGTTGTTATCCTGCAAGCACAGAGGCCCACAGAGTTGCTGGGATAAGGGTATTACCAGTTCAACAAATCAATCATTTTATTAAGCCAATAGACTCTCACCTCTGGAACACAGTATATGACATTTGGAGATATTTTCCCCAATGCTCCAACACTCTTCTTTATTTCCCAATCTGGTTGTTTTCCAAGAGGTTAAGGACATGGATAGTTTAAAGATAAGATCTTACTACCAGTTAAGCAGGCATTTGTGAATAGTGCCAAAGAAGCATTAAGTTCCGGAACAACTAATAGTGGTGCCCAGCATAATCCCTGGCACATGGTAACACTCAAACGTTTGCTGAATGATGAACAAATGAGTTCTAAGAAGTAGAGGAGACAAGCAGCTGTCTGCATTGGTATGTAATCGTCAAATGGCACCGGGTCCATTTTTAGGGCCTGTGATGCTTTGCAATCTTTCTTCAGAGATAGGCAACGTTTTTCCAAACAAACCATACTGTGGAGGCCTTATATATTAGTATTACTTAATGAAAAAAAAAAAAAAAAACATTAGAATAGCACTATAGCACATATTAGGGGTTCAAGAAATGTTTACTAAGTTAATGAACAATCCCTCAAATATCAGTTAAAGTATGGTGGTCCAGAATCCATAAAGGAACTTATTAAGAAAGTTGATCAATCCCACATAGAAGTTCTTTTGGGCTTGCTAAAAGCAGGTTAGCATGTAAGAAGTCTGAACACATTTTTGTTCAATACACATCCCTATCTGAATGAATGTAGACAAGAAGTCTAGGAGGGTATATACCAAAATGCTATCCATGGTAATCACTTGAACAAATGAATATGGATGGTTTTTTCTCTCAATGAAAGAACTACAGTGAATAGACATTACTTATGTTTTTTAATTCTTTTTTTGGTGGGTTTTATTTTTTTCCTACAAACTCTTTTTTGACAGGTACCATAATTAAAAGGTTCATTAATTTAGCTTAAATTCATTTACTAGAAATTTGGTAACGTAGTAGAACTTAGCTCGAAATGACAATACAGGATGCAGAAGAGTTGTATAGGTGAGTACTTGATCATTTTTAAACTGAAGACAACCAAAATGATCTCTTAAATGACCAGTCAGCCCTTATTTTTTCTCCTTCTATGTTGTAAGCCAGGGAAACCCATTTTGTTTATCTTTATGTCCCCTTTGTATACCTAGTATAAGAAGCTCAAAGTTTTGTTGCATGGAACAAATGAAGAAACAATCAAATGAACAATCACCTTTCTGAATATACTGAGGCAAGGATATTAGCAACATACTATATTTTCGGTGCATGCTCCAGTCCCCAGGAGTGGTAACTCCCTAACTGATTTCATTAGTACAAACCAGAGCAGCAGCACAGCATGGTGGTGAACAGCTCGGAGTCTGATGCCAAACTATCTGAGTTTAAACTCTGGCAATAGCAAACTGAACGGCTGGTGACTTGAGCACGTTACTTAACTTCTATGCCTCAGTTTTCTCATCTATAAAATGTGAAAGAATCACAAATCCTATCTCACAGGGTTGTTACGAAAATTCAAAAGGGCTAAGAAGAGTGCCCGGCACTTAATATATTATGTAAGTGCCAGCGGGGGGAAAAAAAGCCTCTCACTGCTACAAAATAGTTAGCAAATATGGAGCAATTCAGAAACCTGAAAATTCACCTATCTTACACACTCTGAAACACGTGTCACCTTCTCACAATACGCGTAAGATTATTTCAATTTCTAGGAAAAGTTGGTTCTTTAAAACTGCCAAATATCTAAAGAAGCATTCTTTATATCACTGTTTTAAAATAGCTATCCAAAATAATTAAACCTCTACGGTATTAAATGCTGACGATAAAAAGAAGGTCAAGGACAAACTTCTCCTGCAGGAGAAGGAGCTTAGAAAGCTGATAACGGTTTTTCTAAATTCTTAACTGAATCAATACTTAAGAGAATATATTTGAATTACGAACGAGGTATAGTTGGTTTCTCTTGGGCATTTTTTAGGTTTGTAAGATCTTAAATTGTATCTCCACAAGTTTGTTGAATTTGATGTTATATTTTTTCTCTTTGGTTAAAAAAATAAATTTCAATATTAAAATTTATAGCAGAAGTATTTTTCCTCTGAGAAATGCTATTACAGAAAATTAAGGAGGAACGACACATAGAAGGGATAAAAAAACCACTTCACATTTGAAAATAAACTAAATTTAATTAATAAAATGCATTTTAATAGTCATATATATGTATAGTTTCAATATACAAGTACATAATTTCTCAAAAGTATTCGACTGTTTTTCATCTAAGCACTATAAAAATTTAACTGAAATTGACACAATTAAAAGTTTTAAGTAGCATTTCAAAATTTCATTTACACACTACTGTCTTCTTCCTCAATGATCTCTCTCCACCTTTAATATACATGTTCTATTTACCATTTCCACATATTTTTCATTCAAATACTATTCATTAAATTTAAAAAGCATGTATAGCAACAACTAGCTCTAAAGATAACACTACAAAATCCCTTCGGGCCTTTAGCTATGTAAAATATCACTATCCATAATATTTTTTACCAACAAAGAATCAGGTTATAAAATATCTTTGGGCAGCAGAGGGATTTTACTTGTTCCATATCTGTCTAAAGACTGTCTTGCTACTAGCCGGGGTGATTTTTCCTCTTTCCTTTTTCTCTGCAGTGATTCTAAGTATAGTGACAGCCACATCAGGCTTTCCTAGTCTCAGCGCAAGCTCAGTGAAAGTCTGGGAAATGTAAGTGGAAACATGAGAGACCGCTTTATTTGGCAGTGCTTTAAAAAAAAAAAAAAAAAGGGCAGGACAAATGGCAAAGCAGTGTTTAGACCGCAGGATGAACAATCAATAGGCAGAAAGCAAGATAGAGGCTTCCTCAGCTTTTGGATCGACAATCAACAGCTGAGAGACTATTTTTTGCTATGGTTGACTAAATATGGTCAGGGAAGAGAGAGGCACAAGAGAGTCTGTTTGCCTGGGAGTGCATGTTTCAAATGCTTAGCTGCCTATAAAGCTGCAACAGTTCAGCCTGTGGCCACTGAGGGAAGAATATAAGTTAACCTCTGTAGTGACCATGTGGAAGTCCTGACCTTGCTTGCAGACTTGACCTCTGGATATGACAAGGTAGTTTCAATACAGATCTACCATTTAATCCTGGAAACTAAAAACCAAAAAAATCTCACAGCAAGAAAGATGCAGAATATTTCCTGGGAAGTCAGAAGAACCCAATCTATTCTGGTGGGCAAAGGAAAATAGGGTGAATGTTTACAATTACTTGGGGGGAGTGAGGTGTGTTTTGTTTTTCGGTTTGTCTTTTTTTAATTATAACATTAACTTCCTCTGCAACTTTTCCCCTCTTCTGAAGCATTTTATCTGAGAAATAAGTGAGGTTCATTTTCTTGGCCGTTGTAGCAACCTTCCTCGGTTGCTTAACTTTATGTACAGCAGACACAAGGTACTCATATCTGTGCTATACTGGTAATATGACATTCCAAATCAAATGGCCAACGCTGATTCAATTCTATTGTAGTTTTTTTTTTAAGAGTAAGGGAAGGAAGAGGGAAAAGATGGCTGATTTATTTTTGTTTGTTCATTTGTTTTTCAAATTCATCTTAAAAGGTAAGGTTCTGTGTTCACTGATACCTCCCCTCACTTCACCCAGCTCATGAAAAGAAGTGCTGAATCAGCGAATAGAGTGAAGGAACCATCAAGATGAGATGGCTGCTGCTGCTATGACTCTCTAGGTCATTATCTCTGTTCCTGCTGCAAACGCTGCATGACACTAAGCTCACAGGTAACAGCACCACAGGGCCTGTACTTTTAAGGATGCTTATGACTTTCTGCATGCTTACCTATTATTGAATCGATATATGTTTTTATTGTTAAATTAAATTCTATCTGGGCATAGCCTAATTTCACAGTTCAAGCAGAGAGCTTATGTAGTGTAAAAAGGAATGGTGTTCAAATACCACGGCTCATAACTCTTGATCTCAAAAATGTACAAATCCATTACTGTCATTTACATTATTAAAGATTTAGTTTTTATTATTTCAGATCAAATGATTTTGCATCCCTAGTAAAGCACACCCTGCTTCCAAAGTATGCCATTTTTTAAAAACTATTAACTATTTCAAGGTTTAGTCAGCCAAGAAAGTTGGCAGATCACAAAATACTTTTTAATGCTTACTCTTAGTTGGCCACAAAAATAAATCAGAATATGTATGGTGAAATTCTAATGCTGCATTGCTGAAACTGCTGTAGTACTGGGCTATCTACTGCTATGTTCTGATTTGCTCTCTATGAGCTGCACTAGCTTTTTATCACACGCTGCAGAAATTCTACTTTCCCTGCCTTTTATCCCCCTCTTTTCCCAAATCTGAAAATTTCGTACGGGTTTCTTTTAAATTAACCTTTTAATACCACAATAATCAAAGGCAACACACCAACTATAATTCTTTTCATGCTAAATGATTAAGCTAAAACCCAAGTGCTCATAGGCTAACACCTTTCAGTTCTTTTAAGTGACACTTCGAAAGAGTCAGCTGTTCTGGTAATTATCCTTTATACTAAAAAAATAAAGAATCAAAAACTAAATTCACCAAAATTAGATATTTATACATTTATTTGAATTTACATTTAACCTAAACAGAAGCACCAAAATGCAAAATTCAGGTTAAGTAACTAATAAAGACAAAGGAACAACAAAGAAGTTTTCAAATGATCATGAGTTCTTATCTGTGAACTTAAAAAAAAACAAAAAATTCATCATCTTTAAAAATTGAGTTTACTCACACTCTCAGTTTTTAATAAGATATCTAGTTTGTAAAAAGAATTTGCACCAAATTAATTACTGTCTATTTGTAGGCTCTAGAGGCAAACTACAAAATAAGAAGAAATTCACTCTGAAGACTATGAAGAAACACTACGCTGGTCTTACCAATTTCTGAAATACACTCTGTAAAACTCCACTGACTCTATGAATCTCTTGCAAAAACAACCAAACCAGGACAAAGTTCAACAGATAACTGGTCAATGTTTAGAAGTACATGTCCACCAAGAACAAGGAACTATAAATGGCACTAATGTCATGCTTCAGGTAAATTTGTTATCAAAAGTTTAGTCTTTGATAGTCTCTGCAAATGATCTACCATTGCTCTACATCAGTAAGCTAGCTGTTTTACTAACAAATGGGAAAATAAAACATTTCATGTTTTTACAGCTAACAACTTAGTAATACCTACTCAGAGTACATACTTCTTTATGTACCCATATGAACATACAATGCTATGGAATGTAAAGAAGTATGTATTTTTGGTAGGCAATAAACCACCAAGAGGGAACTAAACTGCAGCCAAAAGAAGCCCTTGCTTCTTTCTATGTGAATGACCTTCATATGATAAATTAACCTAGCATCAAAGAGATGACCTTTGGTAATACTAACACCATAAAAATGTACCTAATACTTACAGATGGAAAGTAAATGTCACTAAGATTTATATTTTGTGAAGAAAAAAAGCTCTACTGAAATAGATTTAAAATTATCATGAAACGCCTTTTAAATCTTTTAAGTTTAAAACATACTACATTTTACATTTTTAAATTAAGCACTCATGATTAAAATTTGAATACAAAAGAGAAGACAGTATTACTAGCACAAAAGAATAAAGGATACACATGACCTATTTTCTGTCTCCACAATTTGATCTTAATTTAAATATAACACATTAGCAGGGCCGACTGATTTGTTAAGAAAAACAAGATATAACAAAAGCTGACTTCATTTACATTAACAGCTATTCTTCATATTTTGATAAATTTTTAATTTAATAATATTAGAGGAATTTCTGAAGCAAGTTTTGTTGTTTTAGATTTTCTTTTTTGAAAGCTACATAGTCACAATTCTAAAAGACTATCTTTTAAGTAAAATTCTACTCTCAAAGAAAAAAAAGTGGTCCTTGTCGTTTTCAAGTTCATCAGGTCCTTAACCCAGTCTCTAGTTTAAATGCTGTTATTACTTAGAATAAATTAAAACATAAGATTAATGCATGAAAAATGACAAAATTCTGGGCCACAGCTGTAAGTCAACAGGGCACATTGGCAATAGACTGCCAAATATTTTTAAAACATTAATTTATTATCTATATTATCCTTAAATTTGCTTTCCCCAAAGGGGGCACATAAAATGAAAACACTATAGTCAAGAAACCAATTTACACAGATAGAACAACCATTTTTTATTAGTATTATGCAACTATAATTCAATTTTCATAAATATGATAGACCATTTATAGCATGTTAGAAATACCAAAATACTTTTTTGTATTTTATACAAAATTTATTTTGTATAATACATATTTATATATTAATAAAAATTATAAATAATAAAGATGCTAGCAACAATTTATAAACAGTATCTGTTTTAAGCTACAACACACTTAGAAAAAAGAAATTCTAATACTAATATTCATATATCCTAATCATTTCTTACTGAAAATATTATTTCAACTGGAATATTTAGATGTGTAAAAAGCATAATCATATTTTTAATTTTTTGTGTGTCACAAGTTGCATAGAAATGGATATAAGGTTAAGTATAGTTAATTTTCTCTGTTTAATAAGACAACTAGATAGTTGTCAAAAGATGATTTTCATTTTATCAACAGATTATAAAAAATGAAAGAATGACTAGATATGGTAGCATATAAGTAATTGCATGTTTACTGGAAATTATAAAAAGCTCATGATTTAAAAATTCTACATTTTCAAAGAAAAAATTAGTTCAAAGCTTAACTCACTTAAGCATAGCCCTTCTTTTTGATCATTCACAAATAGAATGGCAATGCTTCACATTCCATTTGTTAAGTTTAATTGTACACGCCCTAAATACCAAAAACTGAAAATACGTATCTCAAAAGTAGAGGTTCCTCTATAAAACTACTCAAAGGGTATTACTATACCCATGTTTTATAATGAACAATTATATTTGTTATTCTATAGGTATAAAAGTTTTTAATATATTATTAAAAAACTTATATTTCAAGCTGGACTTGAAAACATCCCAGCGCTAAGACTCTTATTGCTATAATAAGAAACAGAAAATAAAATGACAGCATCTGTTATTAATTTTAAAAAATAAAATTATATATACTGATTCTAGTGCCTACAAGTTTAACTTAACATATCTAAAAGTATTTTCAATCACTCTAAAATGTCACATCCATCACTTAGATCAGCTGTTCATTTTTAACTGAGTACATATTAAACTCTGGGCATCTGCTGACACTGGTGTAACTCAAACATTTCAACTGTCTCTCTGACAGGGATAACAGATGCTGACATTATCAAATGTTGTACTATTTTTTTTTTTCCATGGCCTCTCCTTGCCCCGATATGGCCAGTATATGAAACTGAACTGCCATCCAAAAGCACACTTGAGCAACTGGATCTACTAAACAGCTCCCATATAACTAGTAAAAATAGAAGCCAGTTTTATTGCTATCTTCAGCACTTAAGTCCAGGCAATTTAACACCTGTTTCACTTCTATTAGAATAAATAATGGAAAGAATTATAAGTTACATTAATTTCACCAGCAGCAAGATACTTACCAACCAACAGATGCAGAATATACTTAATATGAGAATTGTTTGAATACTGCCTGAATTCATGTTGACCTTCTCCCAGTTCAGTTCAAAACAGTAACTATTTTACTCTTTACATTTCACTGAGAGCATTTACCTGATAGGCAAACTATAATTTCTCAAACTTTTATTTTAAGCAAGTGTATTTCAGAAGACATCCCTTCCCGATATTGAAATGCAACACTGAAATCACATTATAACAAAAATTTGTTGCATTGACTTTTAAATGGTAGGTTTTAATATTCAAATTCATGGATTATAGCTTACTACCACAAGTCAATGTATTATTAAACTGAGAATGAGAACTAAGCAATCTGTACCCAAAACAATAGAGAATTCAGTCAAGGAAATAGATCTTTAAAAGGGTTAAATTACTAACCGATGATTAGTAACACTATATAAGCAAAAACAAAGAAAAATAAGTTGGCACACATGGTAGCTCCTTTCAACACAAGTCCAAGCAATACACTGAATACACGTGTGATCTATTTATAAACCAAAGGCCAAAGGTACTTTCTTAAGGCCACTCATATTCCTCCACCCACTGTCAGCAACTTGCTATTAGTCTTCAAGTATAAGACTAAAAAAAGCAGTGGTGGTAGAAACGTGTGACTAGCAGTACTCTTCCTTAACCTATTAGCTTACTTACTTAATTTACTGCTTAGAGATAAATAGAAAACACTCGGAAACACATCAAGGTCTATTTGTTCCTTTAAATGTTGCTGGTTTTGAAAACAGGTTATTCTCTACATTTAAGAATTAAGTGAAGGTGTTAAAAACAAAGATGTACACTGATAATTCCTTAACGCATTAACAACATATTCAAGGATGAAGACTTCTGAACTGTTAGAGTAGTACACAGTAGGAAAACTGCCTTCAAAACAGAAAATTTTACAATTCAATGACTGAAGTACCAATATGAAAATCTCTAACATTTGTAGACAGTCCATAACCATAATTTTATATATAAAAAGCATTTTAACTGTTCTGGATCCCAAACTAGCCGCACTGCAATGCTTTGCTAGAGCTGGTAAAATGGAACCAAATCGCCTCTTCAATGGATTTGGTCCCCTTCAACCAGCTGTAGCTATGCATTGATTACTACAGGACAACCAACGTTTTCATTTATGAATATCAATCACACGTCAACTAATTTCAACTTATTTCAATTATTCAAATTGTGGTTTAAATCAAATAATTTGTCACTGTTAATTCTACTTGGAAGAGCCATAGTGGTTAACGATATTTATAAAAAGCTTTACGAAAAATGTGTGGATGACTTAAGGATTTCAAATAAAATAATTTTACTTCTATATAGTCTCTTGGTATTAAATTTCTTATCCTTTAGAAAAGAAATGGTAATGAAATCTAGACTATGCTGCATAATAATAATAATAATAAAAAACTTCCTTCAGAGGAAGAAAATATCTGGGAAGGTCACCTAAAACCATACCAGGAATGCCACCATGTGGTTTGCATGGACATGTGCATATTTTAAATTAAAGAAAAATAGAACATTAGATAAAATAACACTCTAGAAGCATTGGGTCACTATCTTCCATAGGATTAGCATTTTTTTTTGTTTTGTTTTGGTTTTTTTTTTTGTGAGGAGATCAGCCCTGTGCTAACATCTGCCAATCCTCCTCTTTTTTTTTTTGCTGAGGAAGACTGGCCCTGGGCTAACATCCGTGCCCATCTTCCTCCGCTTTATATGGGATGCCGCCACAGCACGGCCTGACAAGCAGTGCATTGGTGTGTGCCCGGGATCCGAACCGGCGAACCCCGGGCCGCAGCAGTGGAGTGCGCACACTTAACCACCTGCGCCACCGGGCCGGCCCCAGGATTAGCATTTAATTTTACTGCTATTTACCTGAATATTGACGGGTAAGGTGAAAAAGGAGATGATGATACTGCAGAATACCTTGTGGAGAGGTTTAAACAGTAAGTATGTAATTCTTCTGACCCCGAACCATAAGTTTTTAATCCTCAAAAAAGAAAGAAAATGCTAGGCATTGCTACTTTCACTCACATAGATATTTCACCTCTCCATACTTGTTTCCTCAGTTGTAAAAATGAAGATCTCTTCAAATAATAACATTCTATGACTCTCCTCACTCTTTCTGCCTTCTCTGTCCTTCAGGAAAAATATACACACAAGCTTCTCTCTCTCAGTGGAGAGAAATGAAGGAAGAGGAAAATGACAAATGATCCAATATCCCTCTAATTTTCTTACTGACTGCAATAAAACTACAGACAATGTAATGTTCTTTAATAAATAGAGACAAACATTCAGAATTAATGAAGGGTTACTGATGACAAATCGTATTGAAAACCTAGATGTTCACATGATTGTCAACTCCTGACCACTCCTCTATTGCAAAGTAAAGATCTTCCCCTAAAAGAATGTGGGCAAAAGAAGTTATATGTAAATAAATCTTATCACTTCATTCAAGTTCATAGGCCGCCTTGCTGATATTAATTACATCTCAGTCAGTCACATTCAATATATTTATATGTTACAAGGGTAGATGTATATAACGAGAGAAACTGGACAAACTGTAAGTATACTATCATCTAATAGACTCTCAGCCATTTTTTATACACAGTCATGTGCTGCATAACAACATTTTGGTCAACGACGGGCCGCATATATGATAGTACTCCAATAAGATTAGTAACAAATAGCCCAGGTGTGTAGTAGGCTATACCATCTAGGTTTGTGTAAGTACACTCCATGATGTTTGCACAATGACGAAATCACTGAACGATGCGTTTCTCAGAACATATTCCCTTCATTAAGTAACACATGACCATAAAGCACTCAGCATGTTCAGAGTTTATAAGAAAAGAAAAACACTAAACACCAAGATATGGTCAGATTATCAAATCTTCCTATATTCAACATAGTCTCATTTACCAGACTATATTTCAGAATTTAAAAAGTTAAATAAATGTATCACAACGTTCTAGAGGGAAAATATGAGTTGCTCACATATTCAGTAAGATTTAGTAAGTGTCTTTGTGGGAATAGATAGATAAGTAAATAAGAAATGCCTGTGAAGTTATTCTAGCGCTAACCTGAAAACATAACATGTATATCACATCATGTTCACTCATATTTTACTGTTACTTTTCACATTCAATTTATATTAATGAAACATTTGTAAATAACACTACACTAAGTAACTTTATAATACTGTCACCAGCACTTCCAAAATACTGTTTTTTGCCAGCTTTACAGAGAATACTGCTAATTTACTTTTATGTCTGTGAGGGAGCTCTAAAAACTTAAAGGCAGCTATAAGCGCAACATCTTCACAAAAGTACCTAAGTAATGTGCAGATTAATGCTAATCCAAAGAAATTTAGTTTTCATTTTTAACAACAGAAATGATTTCTGCTCTTCATTTAAATCTGAAATTTTACTCATATACAAAAAGAAAAGAAAATATGGCTAAACTCTAGGGAAAACATCTCTATAAATATCAAATATCAGAATACAAAAACAGCATTGCTCTTAGTTAAGATTTCTTAAAATAAAAAAACTACTATATTAAAACATATTGTAACTGCGTTCTAAAATGCTCCAAATTTTATAAAGCACAACAAAAGTACTCAGTGTCTCACAGCAAAAACATAATTCTCTTCCACAATTCTGAAAGAACAGAAATGGCTTATAACTCCTTTTCTCTCTTTTTTTTTTTTGTGAGGAAGATCAGCCCTGAGCTAACATCCATGCTAACCCTCCTCTTTTTGCTGAGGAAGACCGGCTCTGAGCTAACATCTATTG